GTTGGGGTGGATGGGCTTGCCTTTGTTGTCACAGAGGCTGGACTGGTCTCTTCTACAGTGGGTTCTGGTAAGAGACGAAAAGTGCCATGGGTTAGGGCTGGGGTCAGCTGACCTCAACGGATCCCCTGCACTGAGCAGGGCCAGCAGAAATCAGCAGGATGGTGAAGCAGCAGCTGACCCCTCTCAGGTCATTCTGGGCCATCCCCTGCTCTGAGGTTCCCAACCTGGAGACATCTCATCTCCCTTACACAACCTCCTGCTCCTCAAGGGTCACCCTCGTGGGGCAAAAATTCCCAGCTAAGGGGGCACGAGGTCCTTGTCCGATCCTCCTCATCTTGAGGCAGTTGACCTGTCTTCGGAGTTGCCGTCGTACCTGATGTCTCATGGTCTATCCCTGGAACTGCTGGTCCAGGGCTTCCCGATAGCTCCAGGAGGGTTCAGAGCTTGGACTCCAACCCAGGGCTCTGAGTCCCACTAGCCCGTCAAGGGACACACATCGCTTTGCTTCACTTACCACACAAGGAGTCGACACAGACTCTGTCCTCAGGACACTGTGAACATGAGGGTCCCTCCTTGTACGGCTTTCGGCCTTTCATATTTCCCCTGGAAGCAGAAGATGCCAAGAAAAAGAAGGCGTGAGGAGAGGAGGAAACACCCATCCCAAAGAGGGGCTCTGATTCCACTGGAATATCCCAGCCAAGGCAAAACTTGAAATTAATGTAAAAAACCAGGTCTGGGTCTCCTGCCACAGACTGTCAGTGACATTCACTCAACAGCCTGACCCCAAGGCTGCTAAAACCAGGGGAGACAGCTCCATGGACCACATCCTTCAGCTCCCCTTAGAACAGAGCAGTCGATGGGCATTTGGAGAGGTGATTTTGTCTCCCTTCCGCTCAAGGCTCCTAAGAAGGTCTGCGGTGACCAGCTGCTCTTGCTGGTCTCACCAGCTCCAAGCAAGTGGTCCCCAAGGCTAGTCCCAGGGCTTTGCAAGTGGGCGCCCACCTCTCCTCCCACGTCCACCCTTCCTGCTGGTGCAAATGGGCTTCTCCACCCCACGCGACCGCTGCTGCCAGCAGGGAAGAGCAGGGCAGAGCAGCACCCTCAGCTATTGTGGGATCAGCCTGGGGTAGCTCTTGGGGGGCAGCTCCCTCCTGGGTCTGTGCCAGGAGCTGAACCCCACCTCAGCAATCGCAATCGCAGGCAAGGATCACCAGACAACCCTTCCTTCCTTTGCGACCAACCCAAGATAACAAACGCCTTTGTTGGAATCGCTTTGCTTCTATTTCTGAACGAGGCCAAATCCTGCTCTGCTATAAGGGCTGAAGGAAGGACGTTTCCAGCACAGAAACCCCACCAAGACACACCGAGCCACGGGACTTACGGGGGGTAGTAGTTGCAAACAAGCAGGTACATGCCCTCTGTTTCGATTCCGTCGATCTTCTCACAAAACTTTGCCCCGCAGCCGATCTGGTGCGTGCTTGCCCAGACCACCTGAGGCAAAGACCAGGGGTGAAGGCGAGGTGTTTGGGTGAAGGCAGACACCCTGTTGGCAACCTGTCCTCTGGCCTTGAAGGCTGCTCAGTCACTACACCGATGTCCCCCTCATCTCTTAGTGTGTGCTCCAGATCCCACATCTCCATGTTGCTTCAGCATCCTGCCCCTTGCCCCCGTCTGGACCACCTTCCCAACCTAATCCAAGTGCCACAGCTTTCCTACCATATAGTCTACCCAGGTAAAGCAACACCATCTCTACCTGGAGCTTTGGTCCTGGAACTCTCCATCCATCCATCCATCCATCCATCCATCCATCCATCCATCCATCCATCCATCCATCCACCCACATATTTACCACCATCTCTGCTCCTCCTTGTTCCCACCCAAGCTGTGAAGAAACACTCAGACCTCTTATCTCTGCCTGAAACAAGCTGGCACCCAGCTCTGCTGAGTAGCCAAAAAAGGGCTGCAGAGCTTGTTTAGAAAACAGTCTTCTCCAAAAGGCTGGTCATGGCTGTCATCATACCCAGGTCCCCCTGTGTCATTGTTGATTCCCACCTGGTTCCCCATCCCTTTGCAAAGACTCTGGGAGGAGCAGGGGCCCTGGTACAGCTCCTTTCCCAACAACCCCATCCTTCCACCCCAGCAGCCTGGTACCTGGGTGTAGTGGCCACACATCTGCCCAGGGACACATGTGGAAGTCGTCAGGTTGTAGTATTTCTCCTCCGCGTTCCAGTCTTCCACAGCAAATTCCAGGTCCAAGGTGGGGGCCATAGCAAAGAGGTTCTCCCCCCGTCGGCCCCTCTCCTTATTGTGGTCCCAGATGCACTTCTCTGCGTAGGCTTGAGCAAAGGCCTCCAGCTCCGTGTCCCAGCTCTGGAAGGAGCTTGGCGTCAGCATACAGAGAGGGACACTGGGCTCTCCAACGCGCACAAGGACATGTACCAAGGACCTCTGGGCTCTCTGGCTGAAGTTTCCCCATTCATGAGTAAAATTCAAATCCCTACCCAACATAGTCCTCAGGAGAGGGGAACTCCACAGTCAGCCCCAGCACAAACCAAACTTTAGCTTATGGGTCAAATAAGGGAAGGTCAGAGTGTCAGCACAACTCTCACAATCTTGCCTGGGACACCTCTAACATCACCATGGAGCATCCTCAACTCAGTTTGGAGAAACCATGAAGTTAAATGGAGAAAGAGAGGAAACTCACCCTGGGTCACACAGGAGGGGTCCTGGGGACATCCCTCTTTGACTGGGATGGGGATGGGAGAAGAGCAGGACACATCCACCCTAGCAGCTGCACAGAGCCTGGGAGCACACGCTCCTGGGAAACATCATCTGTTTGCCTGGATCTGAGACGCGGCCGGCGCGGCGCCGGCCGCACGGACCCCCCCCAG